TTTTTCTTCATCTGTATAAACTCTTATCATTCATTATGTTTTAAGAAAAAAGGGGGATAGTCAATTTGGTTTCCAACAGGATTGTTTTCTAGTTTTCAAACCTGAAGCATTGATTTAGCTGTGCCAAAACAGAGCACCACTCCAAATTTCTCTGTTTTATCCCTTTTCTTTAAGGTTGATTGAGAAACAATCATATTTCAGGTCCATTCTATTTTTCTGGCTCATCTTGGTTCAATTTCTTTCAGCATTCACTCAGTTATGTCAGTTTTGAGGACAGAACTTGATTTGGTGTTTATGTCTCTTCTCTATTTGGTTCTATGAGAAGCAATCCCATTCCAGGTGCATCCCATTTTCCTTGCACAATCAAGCCCTTATGTTTCTTTAAGTTATGATAAAAGGAAGCTATATACCAAATTTGGTAGTCCTAGCCCAAGGGTGGATCCAGCCCACCAAGCCTTTTGATCTGGCCCCCGCCCACCCCTTCTGCAGGGAGCAGCATGGATCAAAGTGGCGGGCTGCTCTTTGTGGCTGTCTGCACTGCTGGGAAGGGGGAGGGATGGAGAGACTTCAGAATGCTGCCCCCATTCCCAGCCAAATCTCTCCATTCCTATTGGCTAGAAACTGGACAATGGGAGCCGAGAGATTTTGCTGAGAACGGGGGCAGTGCCGCACAATTCCTCAGCCCCCATTAGCTGATTTCTGGCCAAATAGAAGCTGAAAGATTTTGCTGGGGGTGGAGGTAGCATATGAAGCCTTTCCCTCCCTCCTCTTCCACACAGCACAGAGACACACATGCACAGCCAGCCAGCGGTCTGGGGATGCTGGCAGGGAAGCCTGCCTGAGAATGCTGCTGGCCAGGAGCTGCTTTGGTAAGTGTCTCCCAGTCACAGCCTGCTTCTGACATCCCAGCTCCTCTCCCAACGTCCTATCAGACTCTGCACCCTCTCCTATGCCTCCTGCTCCAGGACAGAATTCTCCTCCTAAACCCTGCACCGCAATCTCCTGCCCTAGATCACAATCAAACCCTCTGCACCCTCCTCCTCACCCCTGCCCCAGGTCACAACTTCCCCAGACCTTCCACCCCTGTCCCAGGTCACAACCCTCTCCTTCACCCAAACTCCCTTGCAGACCCCCACACCCTCTCATGCACCCCAGTACTCTACCCCAAGCTCCCTTCTGCATTCAATATCTGTCCCAGCCCCTCCATAGAAAAGGGCAGCCCTTGACCACTTACCAAAATCTTGGAGTGCCCCCCCCCCAATCAAAATTATTGCCCACCCCTGTCCTAGCACTTACCGTTCAGGAGGAATTCTTGATCAGACAGACAAACTCTCTAAAATATGTAGTAGGTAATTCATCATCTCTGTGTACAGGAGGCCCCCGACTTGCGACACGAGTGGTTCCTGGAGAAGCATCGCAAGTCGGGAGCATCATAACTCAAACCCTTATTTACAATAGGTGCCATGCGCCATCGTAAATACAGGCTGAGGAGATAAATCGAGGGTTTTCAGCCCCTTCGGCATTTACAAAAATGGTTGTAAGTGCGGGGGGGTCAGAACTCGGGCGGTCACAAATCGGGAGCCTCCTGTATTACATTAATAGCTATCATCATCCTGTTAAACCTCTTGTTTTGATAGAATCTATTGAATACATGAAATATTTATTTTCTTTATAAATACAATCTATATTGAAGAATTCTATAATTTTCAGAATAATCTCATATGTTGTAGAGTTTTTAGTGACAGAAATATTCATATTTAAAATTGCAGAATGTTGTTCTAATAGGAAATGAGAACCCTGTTCGTTCTTTGTTTTTCCAGATCTCAACAACTTCTTGTGGGACAAGCAGATGAAGATGAAATTACATGGGGAAGTGATGAACTCCCAATAGAATCAATAAATCAGGAACATCTAGCTAAAGGCAAGGACTTTAACAAATAAACAATCAATGGACAATGAGGATTATAGTAAACATACCATGTCAGAAATGTATTTGAACATGTACTGAATATTTTTAATAGCCCAGTTCTGATGAGAGCAATTATAGGAGATCAGGGTGTTCAAGAGTTCATAGGAGTTTAACATAATAATTCATGCTTGCAAACTCTTTTTCATGTAAGGGAGTAGTGTCACTGATTCATCTGAGCAAGGGATTACGCACAGCCAGTTCTGGTCCATAATATCTATATTACAAAAGCTACAGTGGGTGTATGCAGAAATTGGACTGAGATCCTATAGGATCTACTGATTTCTGACTCCACAGTGTAAGTGCACAGCATTTTCCTCATTACTTTGGGCCTAGTTTTTCCATCTTTACTGAAGTCAATAGACCTAATCCCAGACTAAAAGGATGGCAGAATTTGGTGTCTGTCTTTAGCATTGTGACTGTTCAGGAATATCAAATTACCTGAATTCATATTCACAAGTCATATTCAGACTTGTGTCTTATCTGCTTCAGAGTGCTTTTTAACGTAGGAACAATAAGCTTGAACATAAAACTATTCTAGTAATCTTTTTTGAATGATTCGGTAGTCACAACTTATTTTTCATTCTCATTCCAAGAAAACTTAGATTATTAATGAATCACATGGTATTTGAAAGACTAATGAAGGACATCTGCCTTTGGAAAACACAACTTTTTGAAAAACTTAATGTTACTATAATGTATCTTATGTTTTTATCATTAAAACTCATTTGAAGCTGAAGTTTTAAACACAAAACTTCAAGGGAAGAACTTTCACTTTTCAATATAAAGACTTTGGATTAGGTGCAGAGTTCTGCTTTCATATTTGTGAATGGTCACTGATTTTGTAAATTACAAGTTGTCTAGAATTTATGCTAAAATGCGCTTGTTATTTGTATATAGACTGTAAGGAAATTAAAGATAAGAATAATCTGTTCATGGTTTCTCAAATGTTGACATTTTATTGTATGTAAATTAATCATGAATGGATCTGTATACAGTTCTGGGGAAATAGTGATAAAAGATAGAAAGCATTACCAGTAAAGGGATAATTCTGAAATAATTGTTTATATATCATGGATCTATTACGGATATACATATGAATAACTGACAACCTGAAAACTGGATGTGGTGGTCCCTGGGAAATGTCTCATTTTATAGCACTGCACTATAGAGCATGATATTTGCTATCCTTTCTTTTAGCTGTTTTAATGTACATCTAAATCAATCTTCTTCTGCTGCTAGTTTGCCCATTAGTGACAAATGAAGAGCTCTCTGCACTCCCAATTGTCAGAGTGCTTCCTTCAGGCAAATACACTGGAGCCAAATTGAAGTCAGTCATCCGAATGTTACGTGGACTATTGGAACAAGGAGTTCCTTCCCAAGAGATTGAGGTAAACAAACACAGGCTATTTTGAGTCCTTTTTAAAAGGGATGGTGGGAGGGAGAGCTCAGTGGTTTGAGCATTGGCCTGCTAAACCCAGGGTTGCGAGTTCAATTCTTGAGAGGGGCCTGGGGCAAATCTGTCAGGGATGGTGCTTGGCCCTGCTGTAAGGTCTGGGGCAAATCTGTTGGGGATGGTGCTTGGCCCTGCTGTAAGGGCAGGGGACTGGACTCAATGACTTCTCAAGGTCCCTTCCAGCTCTATGAGATAGGTATCTCTCTCTATATATATGTGAATCATGCAATAGAAATATTCTTCACTGTGTGAAGCAGGTAGAAACAGAGAGCTTGATTCTGCATGGCCTTGCACCAAAGCAAAAGTGTGGAAAGAATACTTCCCTTCCTCTCTATTCCGATTTAACTATATTAACTAGACTGAGCTATATTGGCTTTAGCTCTAGAAATGTGATTGAGGCTTACTCATCTCTTCAAATAAATTAATATTAATCATTAATACATTATATTTTTTAAAATCTGCCATTTAAGCTCAAAGACATGGAAAATGTAATGACCTCTGCAAAATCCAGCGGGCACAATGAAAACAATGTTAAAACTTATGAGAGAACATTACAAAGTAATGACAGGAAATTCCTTGGTGTTTTTTTTCCAAAGCTGCCTGCTTTCTCCCATGTAATATTGTGAATTATAACTATATGTCTTGGGGACAAATGTTTGATTACAGGTTCTAGCAGAGAAAGGTATAACAAGATCCAGTAGCAGGAAGTTGAAGCTAAACACTTTCATACTAGAAATGAGGTGGACATTTTTAGGGTGTGGTTAATTAGCCATTAGAACAATTTACCACGGGTCACAGTGGATTCTCCATTATCTGGCAATTTTAAAGTCAAGACTGGATATTAAAAAAAGAGGAAGCTATTCTCTAGCTCCAACAAGATTTATTTTGGAGCAGTTCTATGACCTGTATTAGACAGGAGGTCAAACTAGATGATCACAATGGTCCCTTTGACCATGAAATCTATGCATCTATTCATAGGCATGTGCAGCACATTTCATTAGGGTGTGCACCCAAATAATTTTTTTAAAATGTACACTTTGACCCCCATTAGCCACACCCCTGAACCCCATTAGCCATGCTTCTGGGGGTAATACTTTTGGGGCAATATGGACACATGACCAGAAATAAAAGGTGTTATGTGACACACGCACCCCCAAGAACTTTTCCCACCATCCTCTTACCAATAGGGATTAGTTTGGCCCTCACCAACCCTCTCCTCATGCAACTATCCTGCAATTCCTTTAACCCGGTGTGTGTGACATTAACTCGGGGGGTGGAGAGGCTGGGGGGGAAGTGTCCCCTCTAAGAGTTTCTTCTCATGAGCAGAATGAATTTTGTTGTGCACAAGTACTGAATTCATGTGGCTTT